TTTCATTTATGAAAAACATATCAATGTTCATGGCTTAAGATACTTGGAAGAAGTTTTGTTTTTGGATTTAAACAACCACCTTAGACTTCCGTTGCGATTAATTTGATTAAATGCATGTTTAATATTCAAATGAACTTTGGAAAAATGTTTTGGAAATTCCTACACAAGCCACCAACATGCATCATGCTCAAGCGATCCAGTAGCAGGTATGGGTCCAAATGGACCATTAAACTACAAAGCCAACACCTCCATAACCTGATCTCATATCTGAGGTTGGTTTGTAGGGGAGAAACAACAGCAGCAGCAAACAAGTAGACAACCAAGAAAATTCTAGGGAGAAAGGAGGATTTTAGGGTTTGAGTTTTCTTGGGAGGGGGAGAGAAATGGACTGATGGGGGGTGAGTGTATGAAAGGGAAAAAGGGTGAGAGAGGCAAAGTGGCTGAAGAGTAGTGATGGAGGGGATGTGGAGGAGATCTGGGCTTACATAAGGAAAAGCATACAAGGAAGGGCAAACCAAAGCAAACTGAAAAAAAAGAAGAAAAGGAAAGCCACACCAAAGGGTGGCAGAGAAGCCACACAAGAGGTGGCGGAGGAGCCGCCCCGAAGGGCGGTGACACAGCCACCAACTGCTCAGAAGAGGGCGGTGGGAAAGGAGAGAAGTTCTAGAGAGAAGGAGGAGCCTCTCTCTCTAAAGCTCTCTCAGATCTGAACTATGTTAAATAAATAAAAAGGTTGATATCATATATCTACACTAAAACCTCTCGATCTAACTGCTCTAAGTTTCTAACCACATTTGTTAATGGGGTCTAACTCAGTAAAAAAGGTCTCAAGTTTACAAGGGAGATGGTGGTTTTTCACACACACTACCAAGGTGCAATGAGAATTTGAACATGACATGTCTAGTAATTAGAGAGAAGAATAAGATCTGAGCAGCGATTGGAGTAGTATGATTGTTATTGGGACACAAACTCTATGGATTTTGTGTTCTTGAATCTTGACATGATTTCAAAAATGTCACTGTTCTTGATTGTGAAATCGAATTTCTCGAATTTGATTTCATATATTTCAGAGAGGGAAGCAGAAGAGAAGGACAGAGATGCCAGCGTCTGGCCAAATGGTTCATGATATACCATGTTAACATAACAATCCCATAGTAGAAGAGAAAAAAGAAAAAGAAGAGAGAAGATATGAAGGAAGATACCTCTTGTATTATTCCTTAGATAAGATTATTATATTGATTGAGATTATATATATATAATCTAAAAATACACACACTATGTACTGATCCAAATTTGTCCCCTAAGTTAAGTTTTGAGACAATAAATTGTCTCCATTAACTAATAGAGACTATGCAGCCACTATTTTTAAATCAATATCCTAGTTTGGGGTTGCTATTGTTTTTTGGGTACCATTTATTGAGTCAGTCCTTTCCTATTTTCTATTAAATAAATACCTTTTAAGATACAAGCCCTTTGAGTTAAGCCAAGCCATGTTCAATGGCTTCAAGCTTGGGATCTGATATTTGGAATGGTGTCTATTATATTAGGCACTAATCATGACATATCAGTTTGCAATTGTGTACTCTTCAAATAAGACAGATATGAGTTTTAGTATCTTCTCCCTTAGAAACGTAAAAATATATCAGTTCATGTTGGTTCAATATCAGTCCCCATTGTATGAGTACCTATTTAATAACACCATACCATTTATGTAATACACTTAAAGCCATCAATTTCCATTCATATATTACTTTTAATATTCACAAGAATGTGTATTTTAATTTAATAATATGCACTTTTCAAATACAATTTGGAGGCTCATTTTCATATTATTCTATTGACTATATTTAATTCCTCAATGTTATGTAATTGCCTTGAATGAAAACTGAACACAGCAGCCCAATATTTCATATTATCCAAACAACTTTTAATTATTAAACCCCTCAAGGTTATGTAAAATTCTTTAATTAAATAGTCTTACGAGTCTTGTTGGTGCATCAGCTTGTCATTGTTAGTTAAATTGTACATTCTCAAGGTAGTTATATCCCAATTCTTCTGGTTTCTTCCCCTTAATTATCTTGTTTTCAAAATTAATTCCATAAAAGGCCAAATGAAGAGAGATAGAAATTTGGTAAACCTCAGATACATAATGCTCATTACTTTACATGAGTCCTCCAGCAATAGGAGATGGATACATAAGAGTACAACGTGAATAAATACACTCAGGTGAACGACCCTATTTAGAACTCTGATAAGGAAACCCAAAGAACCCAGGCAAGCAAAGACATAGTAGAAACAAATCCATGAGGCCAACAATAAGCTTACAGAATTATACAAAAGATATTAACATAAAAAAAAGGATCACCAAGGGGACCTAGAAGACCATCTCTTGAAAGTAGAAGCACCATAGAGGGAGGAAGCTGGGAAGCCCATTGCATCTCTTGAGAGCAGAAGCACCCTAATTTGGAATACAATGCATGTATGGTTAAATGATTCCACTTTATAGGCTGCTCTGCTTTTCAAATGTGTGTGTGTTTATATTCTCCCGCCTGCTTTCAAATTTCATAGTCAAGGTAATAGGAACCAGCGGGGAATGGGCTGACAGCTTCTTTCAACATCATTTGGGATTGATAAAGAGGTCTAAATATTAAGTAAAAGTCTGAAATTCACTTTAATTGTATTCGACACTCATGTCTATGCCTAATTACTTTAATAGGCATGGTGGTATTATTAGTATCCACCCTAAAAGTCATCAACTAATTTAAGCTAGAAGAAGCTCCGAGTCAAGGGAAGCCAAGCTGAATTGGGTTATTTGTAAGTGGAGCCGATTGGGAGTGGACTGACAGCTTATTTCAACATCATTTGGGACTGATAAAGAGGTCTAAATATTAAGTAAAAGTCTGAAATTTACTTTAATTGTATTAGACACTGATGTCTATGCCTAATTACTTTAATAGGCATGGTGGTATTATTAGTATCCACAAAAAAATTTAAAGGCACTTATTTGAATTTGTCTCTCTATATCAGTGACTAGTAGGTGATTTTTTAGTAGTGATATCTCTCTTCTCTTACAATTTATATACATATATACAAGTTTATAACAACTCTCTCAGCTTATTAATTAAACACTCTTAACAAGTCTCCCAACTTATTAATTAAACAAACTCTTAGCAACTCTCTCAGCTTATTAAACAAACTCTTAACAATACATATCAACACTTAATTCATTGACATCTCTGAAATCAGAATGATGTTGAGGGCAGAACACGAAGGATGAACTGCAATATTTTGTAGATCCAGAATGAGAATCCCTACGGTCAAAGCAATAACTTTCCATGGGCTACTACAGTGGTAGCGCCTCAATTGTTCGAGATACGTGTTCCATTTAACGTGGTAATATTTATTCACTTGAGCGCAGAGTTTGTCATACTGGAAATTTTTGAGTGTGGTGTCAATGTAAAGGGTGTTAAAGAACTTAGAACCATCTTCAACGTTGAGCCAGTTAGCTAAGATTTTTTCCTTAGAAAGAAGCTTTATATCCTTTTCGGAACTGATGAGTTTATCCATGAAAACGGCGTAAGATGTTATTTGATGAGATTGACCACGACAGCACTGCTCAAAGGCGATGAGGTTCCTCAATAATGGTTCGGTCAACTCTGCAACTGCTAGTTCTGGAATTTTTAAAACCCCACTTTTAAATTCGATGTTCATTAGATTATTATCCGAGCCCCTTCGAAATTTAACTCCTGCTTCTGAGAGAGCTGTTGCTGCAGGAATTTTCGGTCCAATCTCTTTTTCTTCCTTTTCTGCGAACCACCAAAGACATTTTTTGTTATTTCTACTGGAAGGTTCAAAAGGTTTGAATGCGAAAACAACGGAAGTTCTGATTAGATCAAGTATGTGCAAAAATCGACTCTCATCAACTCGATCATTATTAACCCATTCCTCCTTTAGATGTTGGAAATAGGAGTTGATATGTTTCTCCAACGAGTTTTGTGAGCGGAAGGCACTGAGCAGGACTACACTGAACGGGGGTCCACCGTAGATTTTGCCCAAGGTAAGGCGATATAAACAGCTGAGAACAAACCAAGGAATCTGATTTTCTAATAGCAAAAGATCATGACATACATACTGGAACATGCAATCCATGTTCAATATGGGGTCATCATCATCTTCTTTCCCATGGACAATCTTCCAAAGTAGTTGTATTACGAAGCAACCATCAAGTATCATTATTTCCATGAACTCTTTCTCTTTAAGGTGATCAAGTGGTTCTGCATAAAACTCACGGGCCCGTTTCTCAAACTCAATGATGCCTTTCTTTGTTTCATTGTTAATGCTTTCAATGAAATTTTCAAGGCTTATATCCATGCGGGTGAGAAGGGTATCTAAATACCACTGCTTCGACGTTTCCACGCGCTGGAGTTTTTCGTGATCGCGTCCTCGATGGAAGGGTCCGATTGAGACGACGTGAGGCTCATAGGCCTTTGGATTATGTCTCCGGAGAGCTTCGGGAACTTTGAAGATGCAGCTTGCGGGAGGCAAGGGTGATATAGTAGGGCCAGGGTTTCTTCTCATCTTCTCTTTCAACGCTTCAAGTAATAAAGTATCTTCTCCTACAATAAAAGTCCGATCTGCACTGCATTCCGTTTCAATAGCCATGATGATCACCGGCCCAACTATACATGTACTGTCCTGAAAGTCTGAAGCAAGTTGCAATGGCATAGAATCAAATAAGAGTATGTAATTCATAACACTCCTAATGCAATAATCTTCTCTACGTACTAATATTTAAACTATGGAAGAGAGAGTAAATATTTTTTAGGGCTTGTCCAATATAGGTCCCTACAATTTCTATTTCCTAGATATATACCCATCACTCTATAAATCTATGTATAAAATCCAATTTCAAACTTAAATGACCAGTAGGATATAAGAGGTCATAGTATTCCTACGTTTTTACATCCTTGCCATCAGACTTCATATTTTATTTATAATTTATTCCAAGCATTTCATTAACTACCATAAATGTAATTAAAACTCCCTATTAATAGCATATCAATCACCCCATTTCTTTTGGTTGCCATTCCCTCTAATATATCGCCCCCTAAAATTGCAACAAAAAAAAAGAGTAAATTACATATCCAATTATGTATATATGAAAAATATAAATATAAATATATACGTATAAAAATATAGGTATATTCATTACCAAAAAAATTATTAAAAAAAATAGGTCAGTTACTTTGTAATTGAAATTTCCGTACATTTTTCACAAATTAAATATAGGTACACAATAATTTATAGAAAATAGGTGCGTTGTATAATTGAAATTTATGCACTTATAAATTAAAAATAGGTACATTATTTAGAAGAAAAAAATAAGTTCATTATACTAGGTAAATTTTTTTACTAGGTATACATTATTAGAGAAAAAAATAGGTACATTATTTAGAGAAAAAAATAGATACAAAATTTAGCGAAACAAAAAACAAACAATAAATAGATTATCAAATTATTTTTCAACATAATTAGAATGTACATTATTATTCATAAAACTATAATAAAATAGATTACTAGTCGTATAATTCATAAAAGGAAAACAACATTAATTCCTAAATTTAATATTGAATTTAAATTACTAATACGTTAAATAGATTACTAGTCGTAATTCATAAAAGGAAAACAACATTAATTCAAAAATAGATTACTAATAAGTTAATGTTGAATTTAATATTTAATTTCAAATAAGTTTCTAAATTAATTCCTACATCCATTACAACCATTTAAAGATCTTTCCAAATTCAACATGTGTCATTAGTTACACCCTCCCCATAACACATTAAGTCATAAATAGAGGTAGTTTTGGAATCCGAAAAATACAATAAATCAAATTTTAAGTTATATTAGGTAACTTGCTTAGTTGGATCCTAGTCATTGGGTATTATTTGAAAAAATTGGGTATTTTAAATAGAAAACTAAAGGAAAGGGTTGTAGGTGATTTAAAATGAATTTTATGAGTCTAAGCTCAATTTACTATATTTTTTATTTTCTAAATTGTAATTTCACTAACAAAAACAAAATTCACAACACTGATGACTAACAACGACATACTCACCAAAAATATTTAAAATAAATACTGAAAAAGTATCGCAGCCTATAGTTGGGCTTGGAAAGGAGAGAAGGGAACCAATTGACAATTGTACCTTGAGAGCAGAGAGAGATAGTATTTGTAATAGTGTGAAGCTCTAAGAGCATGTCCACCCATAAGGGCTAAGTCTAGGGCAAGGGCTGCCACTATTCACATAAATAGTGTCAGCCTTGCCATTTGTGGTTCCACCCATGAGGGCTAAGTCTAGGGCAAGAATCCATCCCAAAAGGCTAGGGCAAGGGCAAGAAAGGAAAAAAAGATTATGCAACAAAATATAAACAATTTAGAAAGTGAATAAAATTGTTATGTATTTATAGGGAAAGCATCTATAATTTTTTGGTATTTAAAAAAAAATTGAGATTTTTTTGGATTTTTTTTGAATTTTTTTGGATTTTTAAAATATTTTTTTGCTTGTTGACATCACAGCCCTCGGGCTGAAGCCCATGCGAAACCTGCCCTTGGGCTTGCCCGGGCTGGTGGGACCCATGCCAAATCGGGCTGCAGGCTGCAGCGCTGGAGCTGCCTTGGGCTTGCGAGGGGGGCCTTTTGCCTGGTTCTATTGCTGCGCTGGAGATGCTCTAACTGGTAGTAGAAGAACAAGAGAAAGCAAATTCTAGTCAATTAAAGGAGCGAGAAAACAAGGGTAGGCAAATGCTTGCTCAATTGCATCAATTTATAGATTTATGAGTCAAGTCAATGGGTCTCTAGCTCAATGAAAAAGGACCTAAACTCTCAAGTTCGATTCCTCATGCAATCATAGTCATGTGTGTGTGAGAAATCTTCCCCTGTAATTTAAAATATTGTTTGTATTTAGAAAAGAAAAAAAAGATTTATTAGTCAAAAAAATTTCTTTTCTTTTTCCTCCTGATCAAGTTAAATGTTTTTGCTTGTATTATGGACGACGAAGACTTCGTGTTGCTCGCGATTGACGAGATTGCTTTAAATATAATTTCATAATTGCTTACCAACCCTTTCATTTTCTGATACCGATCCCTCACAGGGTCACATCACATGCACGCAGACATGTCTACTTGATATTCTTTATTATAGTCCACTTGATATCATTTTATTTAGAAAACAAAACCGAAGTAATTTTTAGATTATTGTCCTACAGAGAAGATTTTAATGATCCAAACCGAAGTAAAACCGAAGTATATCTTTTTCATTTTCTATACTTTTATTTCCCTGTTTCCCGCTGGTTATTAACTCTTCTCACCTAGTAAACTTTCTACACCCAACAAGATTTTAATAATTTACTGTACACCTATACACATTTCTAAAGTGATCCGAAAATCCAATGCGGATATTGGGCAGGACTAGTCTTGAGCATCTTTGCTCTTCTATCAGCCTCTAGGCCTCTAATCATGGTGAGTTGGTTCTTATCATCGTTGTTCAGTTTGTCACTTTTCATTTTATGCTTCACCTATATTTGTCCTTTTTCACCTATATATACAATCCCCTTATATTGAGGGATCCCTCAAATAATTTTATTTGAGAGACACCCTTTAGAGTCCCTTATGAATTTTTTTTCAACGATCCAAACCATCTATTTCTTAACTCTACATTCATAGATCATCCTTGCACAAAATTAGACAAGTTGGAAACTTTTTGATATCCAATTATGTACTACAAAATCAATGAACATGGTGCCTCAAGAAAGTACTAAAATTTCAATAATTCACTTGAGTGGTCAAATAGTATCGGATTGAAGTGATTTTTTGTAGAGATGATCCTTGAACGAGTATCTACAAAATAGACTTGGATTAGTGAAATACAATACGGAATGGGCCTTACAAGGGCGTCCCTCAAATAAGCTTATTTGAGATGACCTATCGTTTCAAAGAGAACGGTGTGACAAGTGCAACTCACTAATTGGTTGTGATATATGGGTTATTTTAACCAAATTCTATCGTTTACTTTGACTTTTCAGCATTTAAAGTTTTTAGAATATTTTGGAATTTTTTTATTATTTTCCTTTTTGTTTTCTAATTAGCTTTCCTAGCAAGTCTATAATAACAACCACTCAATTAGATGGTTGTTATTGTAGTATTTTCTTGAAGCACCATATTCGAGTATTGTGTTGGTCCCAATTAGATGCCTGAATGATTTTCAATTTGCCTAATTTTTTGCAAGGATGATGTATGAATAGAGACTTGAAAAATATACGGTTTGGATCGTTGAAAAAAATAATTGTTGGGGACCCTAAAGGATTATTTGAGGGATCCCTCAATCTCTCAATGGAAGGGTAGAGAGAGAGTATGTGTGTGTGTGTTTATTTAAGGGATCCCTCAATCCCTAATGGAAGGGGAGTGAGTGAGTGTGTATGTGAAAACTAATTCATAAAAATAAAACACGCTAAGTACAATCACAATAATTAATGCAATGCAGTCATGAATGATTTTTCTTTTATAATGAGGCTTAACAACACCTTGCCATGTTGAATCTTGATCTCAACTGAAACAGTGATTCTAACCTAGCTAATTGAGCTTGTTTAGGTTCATAACAGATTACAATTAAGATTATAAGTTTATCAAGGAAAGCTAAAAACATAGCTAAACAAAATCCTAGCTATAACAGATGTTCTAATAACACATTTGAAAAATCAGTTACAATACTAGCATATTGTTTTTTTAAAAATAAAAAAAAGTAGCAAATGTGTGGAAACTTGAGTCATGATGGTTTGGTGGGTACGTAACACCCACCATCACTAGACATGCACCAAAAGCCTTCCAATATGAATATTCATGTTCACTTTTAATAGGATTTGTCCAATTGCGCAGAACGTGTAACATGACCTACTGCTTTTCCTTAAAAAACTTGCGACAGAATATGACATTTATCTACTTCATGTGACATTTATCTACTTCACCTTAGAAACCTTTGTTTGTACCATATCTGACCCTCCACTCGTACAACGACACGTGGATCAGAGAAGCTCACCTAAGTACCCAAGGCCTCGAACAATCGGCATCGGCTACCGATGACATTGTCTCAAAGCTGCAAACAACCGATACAGGCCCAGCTCGTCTACAATCGGCACCCCATACCGATTGTACATAATCAGCCTTGAAGCACCCGCCCGAAATATCTAAGGACTCGTGTCAACCTCACAGGGCCCTCCCACGAGTCCCACATCGGAAATGAACACCACAAGCATCCCAAATGCCCTCTATAAATACACCCCTTCACCATCAACAAAGGGGTAAGACTTTTCAGCTTGACTTTTATACTACTATATGGTCAACAGCAAGAGCTCTTAAAAACAATCTTACTTGAGCATCGGAGGGTCTTAGGCTGGTTCCACACCGGTTCCATAGACCTCACGAGCTTCGCTTATCTTCTATTCAGGATCAGCATCCAAGGACAGGAAGAATCGGCATCCAACATCCAATCGATCTCTTGATCGTCCATCCCACTTGTAAGTTGCACTCATCTCTATCTGTTCAGATTTAGCGCCAACAGATTTAAACTGTTGACGCTAAAAAATGGTTCAACACTTTTACGGTCAACT